CAGGTCTACATGTACATGAAGTGCGGAAAACACTGTAAATACCGATAGATTCGGACTCTACGACTAAGCATCTTGGGACATAAGACTACGCAGCAGTAGTTGAAAAGCAGGTTCGTGAGGATCATGGGGGGGGTGTGACCATATATATATATATGTGTGTGTGTGTGTATGTAATATATATATATATCAATGTTTCTATGTGAATGTATGTGTTGGAAAAACTGAAGATAAAGAGCTAGAAGGTGTGGCAAATTTGTTGTTGCGGGAGTGAAACCTCGTGCTTCTGTTGCAGCTCATTCTGATTTCAACTCATATTGTCACCAAACACCTCATCTTATAAATTGTGCATGTGGGCCCTCGCCTAGCGCAGCCATGGGACAGACAAGCAAGATGGTAGTGGGCGTGAGGTCTAAGAAGCTACTCGTAAACGGAGGCCGGGAAATACAGGAGCTCAGGATTGGTCTGAATGATGGGGTAGGATTAATTTTGGACTTGTAACGCTCATGATACAACAGCTCTAATGGCTCTACTTGCGAGTCGTAGCAAGGGCAGTGTTGTCGCTGGCGTGCTCTCATTCCAAGGCGCCTGCGCTGCGCTGAATATCTATGTCCGCGTCGCAACAAGTTCAAATAATCCGACTTACAAGGTGCCCAAACATCTGGTAAACAGATGTGATTGTACTTGGGCTCCAATGGGATGTGTCAAGGAGGATGGTAGTAAGGCTGACGTGTACAATTCTAGTCACAAAGGGAATGGTGGTGCCCAGCCAACGAGACTCCCGGAGGGCAATCAAAATGTAAGAGTTGTAACGGGTCTCGGTATGGATTTTTGATAGGTCGTAGTCCTAGTGATGAGAACTACTACGGCCATGGAGCTCATGTGTAAGAAATTGCAGCAAAGCTTGCACTAGGGTACGCCCTGGCGGCCTGGAGAGTTCTGTTTGGGAAGGTTTCGGGTAGTTCACGAGCACACTGATGTTTAAAGCAGGTTGCCTGATCAGCAATTGTGGGTGCTAAAGTTTCTGTCATATCATATCGCTAAGTCCATTCTTCTGCAGACGTCAGACCCAGGCAGAAGTCGCAGTCATATCACTCAAAAGTCCTTCCTGGACAAGGAGCTCTGCCAAAAAATCAGAGTGCAGAAAAGGGTTGGAGAGTCCAGAGGGGCTGTGGGGACAACAAAAAAAAGACTGTTGAAGGAAAACAATTGGAAAACAATTCTTTTCCTTGAGATAGTGGGGCTTGCAAGCTTTCCAAACCATCCTGGGACATACAAGGAGGATGGTAGTAGCGATAATGTGCATAATGCTCGTATAAGGCATGAAGGTGCCCAGTGGCGCAGGTTATGAAAATTGTCTTGAGGACGAGTCCAAATGATGAGCCAGCTTTGAGGAGTGCGATGTGGATGAACAGGGTTTGTAATCGCATGATGAAACACTGCAGCGGCCAAGCTTCAGTTTGGATTGTCATGGTTCACAATGGAAGCATACTATGAAATGACCAGGTCGCAGTCTAATGCTGACATATCAGCTTCATGCTACTCGAACCTCACCAAAAACTGTAATGCGCAAAAGCTCCAATTTCTTATCAGCTGAAACTGGCGAAAGACTGTATGTTATGCTCAAATGTTCTAAACATTCCAAAATTCTGACATCCATTGCTGGGAAGCTGTTTGAGCATTCCCGGGCTTCGTGTCCTGAATGAAATTCACGAAACACTGAACTGCTCAAACACATCCACGACCGTGATCCGCATCCGCACGAAACAGTGCAATGCTCAAACCAGCCACAGGTGCTAGAATTGGAATCTGAGAAATACAATGTTTCTTGTCCTGATCCTGAAACTCACGAAATCCCAAAAAAATCGAGAAAATCCAAAAGGTTGGAGATGATCGACTCCGCCAAGCAATTGACGCCGCAATGTTGGAATTGTTTGAGCATTACATTTGTTCGTGAATGTCAGGGATTGAAGTCTTGGATTGTCTAGGAATACAGTGCTGCATCCCGGCGCCCCCTTAGACCACCCATGCGATGGATCTTGCCTGGAGGGGGGGACGAGAATTATCACAGACAGTAGCTCGTACACACATGCATGTTTGAGCATTGTTTGAAGAACATGTGTTGCATGATTGGAGATTAAGGAGAGAGACAGGGATAGAGGGAGAGAGAGAGGAAAAAAAGGATGGAGCACAAAAGGCCCCCACATTCACTTGTGTCTCTACTTGCTGCTGGTTCACTGAAGCGCCTGTAAGCCGTGGTCAGCAAACCAACTGCTCTTGAGAGCGGGCATTGCAAGACAATCCCATCTTCTGAGCTGGAGCTCTTCAGCATCGGGGAGCACCAGAGTAGGAAGGACGGGCCGGATGACAGCTGGGAAATCGGCAGCTCGGAAAGGAGCGTTGGATCCGTGTCCATTCTGGCACCGACACAATCGGTTGACTCAGCACAAGAGGCCAAAACCTGTGAATAAGCCGCTGAATCTGCGAACTGCTTTAATGCATCCGAAGCCTCGTCTGCGACCTTGGTCGGATGGTGTGTCCAGTAGCAACTCTGGCCACGAACTGCAGACGGGCTGTGATAGGTAGGCAAGTTGGACAATCGAGCCAATGCTTCCTCCATGGGCTTTGCTTGCACGCTTTCATTTCCCCTCCAAGCATCTGGATCAAGATGTCTCCAAAGCCCTCCAATGAGTTCCCGAGCCTGTCTCGTTGCGCCCGCTTCTCCGGCATCGCAGCGGGACTGCAGAGTAATCGCTTTTTGCCGGGCTGATCTGCCATGAGATGTCAGAAGTGCTCCTGGTCCATCCAGAAAGGGGGAAGCCCATCTGGACAGCATCGCCAGGAGGTTGAAAATTGGCCAGCCACTCTGAAGGATGCTGATCCATGGCGCCATTAAAGCAGAGGCTACCAGGGTTGTGGCCAAGTCAGGAACGTCCCCGGGCCGGCCCAGTTGTTTCGTTGCAACAAAGAGCAGTCTCACCGCAAGAACTCCCGAGTGACAGGTGGTCCACTCAAGCCCCTCCCTCCATGGGAGCCGTATCTCCGGATCGAATACTTGCCCCGGGAGCAACAACTCCCTTACTTGGCTTTGCACAGAGTTCACAAAGGGCACATCCGCCTCCATGTTCATGAAGCTCAAGCGGCCAGAATATCGGGAGACCATCTCCCGCATCACCTCCTTGATGCCCTTCCATATCTCTACATCCCGCTCGCCGCAAGGAAACATTTCGGGGGTGAAGAACTCAGGGTCCTCGGTCTCAGCAGGCTCTTTTGATTCGCCTCGCACAACTGGCATCAGAAGCGTCGGAATCCACACCAGGGAGACTGAATGAGTCCAGAGAGGACCTGGTGGGATATGTGAGCCGGGGCAGCCGAACATCAAAGGCCATGCCCGCAGCATGAGTCTAGCAGACCAGCCAGGCCATGTCGCGAGCTCGGCTTCAAAGTCCGTCGGTGAGGCCCTCTACTAGAAGTCTTGCCACCGATGTATGGACTGATTATGACTGCTACGAAAACTGGGTTCGAGTTCATCTGCACGGAGAGGCTGGCCAGGCATAAAGCATGATAAAGCTTGAGACAATGTCGGCGACCGAACTCTACATTGGTGCACCAGGCGAAAGTCAAGAAATCGCGCTACCGACTGGCCTCAAACGACTCCGTGCGGACCATTACCAAGCAACCCTCGGAGACGTGGCTTGCTTTGAGGGAGCAGCGGAGGTGGTACCTGGTTTTTGAGCCACAGCAAGAGCTTTCAAACGAGCACCCTGGCGGGCCTCTCGCCGAACAAAGGCTGAAAGAACTTCAGGTAGGTGAAATATGTGCACTCCTTGCAACAAGCTACAACAACGGTGACTTGTCCCGAAAACCGAGTAATGCTCCTGCAGGAAGACGATATCTCCGTCCAACCGCTGGATTTCTCTGCCTTGGCTGCAAAAAATGCAAAGGACCTACCATGACGTGGCCTTTTCCCGCCTAGCAAAGGTTGTCGATAAGCGTAGTCCAGGATCTGCGATGGGCAGTAGGGGTACCTTCTGCAGACAGACACTCGACTCAACCGACTGTGTGGCAGGACCAGCGGAGCTGCAAGGGTACATTATTTGTGTGGCCAACTGCGTTCTGGCATAGGGAACAGCGAGAATGTTGAAACTGACCTCGCTCATAACAAAGAGACGATCCACAAGGATTATCGGCACATTTTGAGGCGCGAACAACTCGGATGGTGGAGGGATTGGCTGCTCGCTTGCCGAAGGCCTGAACTCTTTGTTCGGGCCATCCTCGAGGAACCTGCAGCCCGAATACTACGAGCAGTGTGCAAGTCTTCCACGCCCCTTTGCGGCGACCTCCTCCACAACTCCAACGCGCACAGAACCTTTGGAGCGCCTTTGCTGTCAGTCTCTTGCCGACCAAGTTGCAACACGACTCTTCTAGCTTTGAGGCCCTCACGATGTGCTTGGAACGCTTGGATGAGGCTCAGCCTCCACGTGCAGAGTTCGACCTTTGGCGGCCTGCGAGTCCGGAGCCGTGGCCCATTCGGTGAGTGGAAAGCCCGGCACTAAGTTGGCCTCGGGAACCCAGAAAACGTTACCATGACCAACTTGCACAAGGCCGGAGGCCCCCGCTGCAACCTGCACTCGAAGCCAAGTCAAAAAAACGATGCGATGATTTCAGCAAGCGTCGGCCTGAGTGAGCCAGCGCAGCCTCACTGCAAACACCAGCGACCAGCAAGCACCAAGTCTTCCAGATCTACGAATCATTTACGAGCTGAGTCTGGATGTGAAATGCATGTCGCCCCAACATATGCCAACATCATAGGCGGCGACGTGAATGTGGATGCGTCGCAGAACTCACAACGAAGTATGGCCTCAAACGACATAGCGTCATTTGAGCTTGGAACACACGACATATGCAGACGGTAGGCCAGCAAGCACATCTCTCAACAGACCTGTGGGATGAGACGGCGGCAGACAGTGGGCACCCAGCCAGAGCACGGCCAAACACCTTTTGCACAGTTGAATACTCTTCGATGACGATGCAAAACAGTTGCCTGCTGCAGCAGTAGTCAGGCGTCTTCTTTTGCCGCCACTCCAAGCAGCAGTGCTTCGTGGCGAATTTAAGGTGTTACCGTTACCCACATTCGTTCGTATTTGCGATATAACAACAGCCACTTGCGCGCTCAACTATTTAAATGGCCATGTGAAATATCTTGTTGGCAGTGGCGTGCATGAATTCATCGGGTACAAGCATACCCCAATCTACGGCTTCCGAAGAGGCTACACTCGAGGACTTCGGTTCGCCCAAGCTGCGAGCATGGCGACATCCACATCAGATCTAGCCAGCACCAGGCTGTCACCACGCCCCCTCCAAGCAAAATAACTCTGCGGACCGTGGGGATCAGCACTGAGAGGCACTCTACGTGTACCAGGTGTTCGCAGTTCTGTAGACCTACAGGCCGAATTCCGATCCGCACGGTGAGTGGCTTGGCCAGTCAGAAGGTTTGAAACATTCGACGATACGGTGCCGTGAAGAAGAGTTGTTTGCTGGCTTCTCGACTGGGTGATGTGGCCAGGGGGGTCGCCGCGTGCTCTGCATATGCACGGGTACCCCGATCCAATCGCAAAGGAACGAGCTGTGTTCGAGGCTTGTCAAGAAATTGTGGTGTGCTTCGGACTGTAATATGCCGTTACTGTACGGAAGGATATGGCCAGTTCGAATTGACCGGAGTTCCTGGCAGCGCTGGTGGCCATCTGTCACTTCCGGCCACAGTCTGAACTAATGGAGGCTAACTCAAATTTACAAAGTTTTGACATAGCATTGACGGTGACATCATTTCTCCAGTGCCCACGCAGAAGGGAGAGACTGCTGGTCAGTAAAAGGCTTCTCTGACAACTGATATTTGTTGTGAACTTCATAAACTGGTTATCCCCCTGCTTCGTTGTCAGGCTGTGATTCTGACACATGTGGCTTCAGCCCAAGAAGCTGAAACCCGAACTCTGGCTCATCACCAAGCCCGGAAAGCTTAAATGCTTGTGACCTCGGCTTCTGAGCTCCGTCTCTCCTGTCTCCAGCTGATTCTCCAACTGTGGGCCGGGCGACGGCTTGAGGCCTGCCGTGAAGCAATGCACACCGAGCTCTCGCCACCTCGAAGGGCCTGTGATGACCTGTGTCTACACCTTGTTTGCCACGGCAGCCGGACTCTTTAACCAGAATTCTATGTGCTAGTTAGTCCGCCACAAGTAACCGATCGAAAGCAGGTGTCCTTGGAGCACGCGAAGGTGGGGGACCCACGGGAGCGGCCCCTGCCATGGAATGCAAGGCACTGTATGCCGTGCAAGGTAGACAGCTGCTGCCGGCACGTACTGTCGGCGCACCCTGTGGCAGGAACCCACGGGCGGAGAGCCACTCCTTGTCCCTCACGACCTCGTCAAAGCTCACATCACCAAGTTGTGGGGCAAGTCCGACTCGGACACAACACGAGCAGAAGGCACTCCTTCAAGCTGAGGACAGCGCAATTTCTGGATGAAGTCTAGCACATTCGGCATAGACTCTGTCCTTGTGCAGGATCTCGCACACTGAGCACACGCTTCGAATTTCAGACTTCACTTGCCCGGTCCTTCAGAGCACGGGCTGAGGGCTCGAAGTGATCAAAGTCTGCAGCGACACGGAGCTGAAGGCACTCACCGCCACTTCACATGGTCTGAAAAAACGGAGCTTGAAAACAAAACATCCAGCTCACGCCGGGCACAGCTTTTCCTTCGCGCCATGTGGACATGAGTCACGAGTGCTGGGGCTCCTGCCCCATGCAAACGGCCGTGGAGCAACCGTTTCCCCTGCTGGGTCATGCAAGTGCGCCAGGTACCTCCGCAGATTCGCTACACGTAGTTCCTGACTTCTGGCAACATAGTTCAACAACCAGGTAACAACTAGCAAGGCAAGAAGAATGATACTGAAAGAGACCCTCTGATGTCAGGGAAGCTGACATGCGCTGCTTGGGGCAGAAGTACATTGACATGCTACCACGAGTGTTGTTTGCCTGGAGAGGGGACGCATTGTGAATGTGTCCCGAGCATGCAGATAGAAAGCTGCTCCGGCATTTTGTCTTATGTTCAAGGAGGCGACACTTCAGCAAGCCCGGTGCTTTGCATGTGCCGAGGCCTCGATGGCGCACTTTTTCCCATGGCAACGCCGCCCGATCTCCGGGGAAGCTATGCATGGGCGACAGACTTAATTCCGGCTGCAAAACCCATAATAAAAAAAACAATGACCAACAGCAGTAGCAAGGACCGGGGGCCGCAGCTTGGGCTCAACTCGGAGTTCAGCCCTAAACCCTCAAAGCCTAGGTCACCCAGTGTCTGAATCCACCTGTCTAGGGCAGCCCTCTCCTTTTGCCAGACTCTCCTGGACTTCTTGGTAGACAGAGCGCATTCGGCCACGAACAACCAACGCACCGCAGCAATCCCCCCAGCCAATCTGGCGCACGCGTGGTCAAGCGCATCCGACCTCATGAATGTTATCTGAAGCTTCGCCGAGCTCAAGGTGCCACTGTCACTCTCAGCAGCTGACGCAGAGATCCGTCGTGTTGGGATCTTGTCCAAGAATTTGTGCAAAAGATCTAAGCAAACCTGCCGAGAGAACGGCGAGAGAGTGCAGGTGAGTACAACTGGAGACCGTTGTATGCGTAGTGGCGAACATGCTCAGGTTGCGTTTTATCGTTGTCACCCAACCTCGGAAGCCTGCGGCAAGCGCTCCTCCCGAGCGGAATCTACTTTTTCATAGGAGGTCTCTCAAGAAGGACTCGGCGGCGGTCCTCCAAGGAAGAGGATGCCTTCGGTTCCTCTGGCAACTTGAGCGTCTTGACCATGCTATGGACCTGCGGGGGACGCGCAGATAGCCTCCCGTGTGGCCTGGCTCGGAGCGAGCTCCCGGCCTGCTTTGTCTCCTTCTCTGGCACCCAGTGCAGGTCATGTTCGATGGAAAATCTGGCAAACAGGCTCGCATGGTGCATTTCTCTGGCACCGGGTAGATACGTAGGAAGACACATGTTGGCAGCGCTAGTAGCAGGACCGCTGGACCATCCGCTAACCGCACTGAAACTCCTTATTTCGCGAGTCTACCCTGCTCAGGTCCGAAGCCTAGTGCACCTGAAGCCGGAGTCCCGAAGCAAAACTTTGGCATATGGACATCGATCCCGAACCGCTGGAATCCTAAACATCTAGAAGCACTGAGACCACGAAGTGAGCCTGAGAGGATGATTCAGTTCGATCGCGCTGGGCTGAATTTAATTCTGTTCGAGGTCTCTGCCTTTTCCTCTCTTTGGCCGAAACTCAGAATTGACTTCTGGCGTGCCGCGGGGTTGGCCGTCTCCGGCAACAACAGAGTTCAAGTTGAAGGCACCAACATGCTCCAAGGCAATACATGCAGCGAGTCGCCCCAGCGTGGCTGCTATGCGTCTGAGCATATCCAGGTGGTCTTTCCCGGGGAAGAGCACCTCCGGCTTAGCGGCGTGAGTTCAAACCCCGGGAGAGCATCAAAGAAGAGCGGCCGCTTGCCTCACGGGCCATGAGTTCAAAGTGAATGCAGCCTACGGACCACAGATCCACAGCCTGGCAGTCGGGCAGAGGCTCTTTCTTGAGGCTTGCATGTCCTTGCACCCTTGCTGAGCTGTTTAGAGAAAGCCGCCTCGAAGTATCCTGAAGGCAACAACCTTAGGCGACACGCTGCAAGGCATCCAGGACGATCGAGGGGGTCGTTGCGATGCCATGACTGAGGATCGAAGCATCAGCTCTGGTGCCCTGTACCAGCGAGTTACGACATAATCCGTGAGCTCTTCCTGCAGATCGACGGCTCTCTTCCCTCAGCGCCGAGGTGAAGCGACGCCCACCTCTGAGTTCGAACGCCCTCGAGCAAGCCCGAAGTCTGCTATTCTGAGAGCGCAGTCCTGCCACATTGACCCCAATCCAGACGGATATCCGACTCCTCTACTCTCTTCTGACCCTCTTCTCTTGAAGTCCAGAGGCTCCTTGTTCACAAGGATGTTACTCGGCTTCAAGTCGCGATGCGCAACTCCAGCGGAATGCAGGTACTCCAGAGAGGCTCTAGTCCGTTTGCACACAAGCGCTCTTTGAGATTCAGCGGATGCGACCTAGTATGTAATGTTGACATGACGGCTCTCCTTCAGCCCGCGCAGAATCTGGCAAACGAAAGCCTCACGGCTCAGCACCGTCTCTGCCGGCAAGAAAGCTGACATCACGGGCCTGCGTATGCGATTCCGACAACTTCATCTTGGAGTAGATTACCTAGGTTGGCAAAGCTAAGGGAGGATGGCGCAGAAGCGGTGGACCGGCAAGACAGGCAATGCCGGACATCAGAATGTGCCCGAACTAGCGAAACCTGTGCAGTTCATTCATCGACGGCCAGCTCGTGTGCCTGTGCCAGCCCGCCGGTTCAGCCTACCAGACTCTGCCAGTAAGTTTCTGTCCCCACATGCACTTTCAACAGTAAGTATGGACCGCCCCTCAAAGCAGGTCAATGCTACTCAAAACACCGTCTATGTCTTGGTCCCTTGCACGATGTAGATCGAGGTGCAGGTACGGCCTTCAATCAATCTACCGTCAGTAGAGGCTGCCGTGATGCTATTGTGTCTCAGTGCCGGACATGACTATGTAGACATCGTCGAAGTCAGGATTCGGCACGGGCAATAGATCCGTCAACTGGCAAGAACTGCAAGCCTACAGCTCATCCTTGCACCCCCACACTCAGAATCGCTCCGGCTAGTTTCGCGTTGCAAGCGGATCCTTCAAGAGGTTCTCGTGGCGCAGGGCAGCAAGCAGCCGAATCCTGGATCAGTAAAACAAGTTGAGTCAAAAGCCTCTGAAGATTGTTCCTGCGCTTCTCAGCCGGCGGCTCGCGCAGTATCCTTTTGCCGCAGAGGGGGTCCTTCGTCGACCGCAGGGGATTTCCGTGCATCCGCAAAGCTGGCAGCGCCCACATGCACAAGCTTTCTGAAGTCTGAAGGGTCCTTCGTAAAGTTTCGGATCCATTTCACTGCAACCTCCACGAGATTCTGTCACCGGCCGTCGTCAGACACCACACTCTACGGCCTGTGACCCGTTGGTGGTATCCTCGCAGAGGTACACCTGTGCGCGAGACTGTTGCGCTCCAAGTGCTCTTGGCCGTAAAGCTGCATCCACCTCACCGTACGCTCCGCTGCCGAGTCTCTGGACTGCCACCCTGAGAGCAAGGCCATGAAGCTGCAGGGCATTCTGCAGGGCACTGCACGGTGTGAAAAGACTTGCAGACTCTCGACGCGACTCAGCTCTCAGGGTGCGGCAGATGGGAAGGCACCTCGAAGCCACTGCCGTGAGGCTCCTGCAAAAGCCGCAAGTGATCCCCACGTGGCACATGGCGACCCGTGCGCGGCAGCCTCGGAGATCTCGGAACTGGCCCTGTCCCAAATTCAAGACCACAGCTTTTCGTCTACTCCTGAGACCGAGGATTGGGCACATCCCCCGCCATCACCTTCAGGGCATCAAAAAGGGACACCCTGAAGTCGAAGGCCAAGGCCCAGGCCCAGCCTCCGCCTTCTTAGTCTTGTCCCGCTTGAACCGGCCCGGCCGCGCGCCGGAGGCCGGAGGAAGCCCGCGCTCTGCGCTCTCTTCAACCCCGACTCGAGCACGGCCCCACGGAAGGCGATCCAAGGCTTCAAGTCACAAGAATCCACGTTGAAGGAAAAGTGACGAGCTTGGGCATCTGTGATCATGTGTGTGCGTGTGTGTGTGTGTGTGTCATGTTTGGAGCAGCTTGTGGGGCTTCAAGCGTCCGGGTGCAAGTGCCTCCAGCTTCTGCACTGACGGTGGGTTGACGCTGATGGGCACCCGCTCGCCCTGCGTCTGAATGGGATGCACCCAAAGTTTTGCTTGGCACATCATGCAAAATGCCTCTATCACCACGTGGGATGCGCGGCGTAGAGCCTGTGAACAGCCATGCCAAGTGGCCTTTCCTTATGCCGATCGTAAACATCCGCCAACAATGCAGGAATGCCTCAGCCACAGGTGTGCCCACGGCCACCTTCTCTTCGTTCGCCTCGTAGAGAGCAACCTAGGTAAGGAAGCTTTGCTTTCATCTCTCACCCGACCACTTCGAGCAGGCGCCAATAAGCATCGCACAGACACAGAGCTTGCTGGCTGTGTACCAGACGTGCCAGCCTGACAATGCTCACTTCAGAGGATAAGACAAGCCAATCGGTCGTCTAAACTAAGGGTTAAGAAGGTGAGAAGGCGTTGAGGCTACGGCCTCTGTCGCCGAGGCTGCCTGCTGTGTCTTCTTTTGCTTCTGATTGCTCTCCTGGCGGCTTAGACGCCGTGCAAAGAAGTTATCAGTGGCTTTGTGCATGCAGGCCTTCTTGGCCTTCTTCTTGTCCTGTGGACTTGTACTTGAACACAATCGGCCGATCGGCCGGCTCAGGTGCACTGCTGAGCTGAGGAACATCTAAGTCCGGTGCAGGGCCACCAAGAAGACGATTTGCTTGCTTGCTACAGCCTGGGCAGTGAACCGTCTGCTGGAACAGCACGAAATCTTCACGGACCGAAGCAGTGGAGTCGGTGGCAGCTACTGAGGATAGCTGAGATGACCCAACAAAAAGACAGCATGGCAGCCAACTACCAAACAGCTTGACTGACCGACAAGCAGGAAGGCAGTCAGCAGTCCCGGTGTCGAGAGATGGACGAAGGCTCAACCATTGCTGCAAATTGTTACATCATGTTTGTTTTAACTCGCTGGACCTGGCCATGGCTGTGACGATGGCTGGAGATCTGGGGCACATGCTCAAGGCCAACCGCTGCAGAAAGCGCTCTACAGGCTCCTGCATGCGTGTAAGCAGTGGCCCTCTGAGTCATGGAAGGAGATGAATGCATTCGACAGCGGAAGTGTGGAGCAGCTCAATGCTCGACCTCGCGAGAGCGCAGCAAGTTCAGCTCAGCACCTCGCCACAGCACCTGGATCTGATGATCTGACGTGGCCGAATCTGAATCGAACTAGGGCAGTGGGAGACCATCTGACAGTCTGACAGGTGTCTTCAGAACTGCGGTGTCCAACTTAATCGACGATGTCGGCGGATTGCTTTGATGAAGGCTTGCTGCAGCATGCACGTAGTACTTGCAGCAGCGGATGGGTAGCGATGCTATGGCTTAACAAACCGTGAAACAACGTGATACAGTAGGCCATTGGCACCCCCACTCCATCCAATTTACCATGATTTACCATGCTCGAATATGCTCGATAGGAACACACTGCACATAAACACAAAAGCACCATGGGGTACATCACGGTGCGGAACGATCAAGTCCACCTTAGCGACATGCATGTCTTGCACGAGATCTAGCTTCCTGCCTGCACGGAAACGTTTGGCTCGTTGTCTAACAGCCGAACAGTGGCCTGGCCATGCCGGATAAGGTTGGGCCCGAATCACAGCCTCTGTGCAAAGATTTGAAACGACGAGAGCAGATTCCAGTGCCTGTTTAGCAGAGAAAGCACGGCAGACGGCAGGGTGTCGTACGATTTGCTGCAGATCTGGAGCGAGGAGGAAGGCCTCCATGAGAGCTCTTGGCAAGCAGCGTCTCAGCCTTGGCCTGGGACAGCTCCCAAAAAATAACTCCAAAAGAGCAGTCACCAAGCTCTGGAAGCTGAGGTCGAAGCCGTGGCAGCTGAGCCCTCCCGTCCACCCAAGGTCGCAGAGGCTCAGCGAAAGAAACTACTAGTAGGACTCTGACTGCTGCGGGGGTCCGGTGAGCTGGTGCGTTGCTTACGGGTGCCTGTGTGGTCTCAATGCTAGAAGAGTTGGGCTCAAGCTTTGCGAAGCTTGCAGCGGCGTGCGAAGCATGTCAGCTGGCATGGGCGTCCGAATCTGCAGGGACACGATCATCGCGCCAACGATGATGTCTTTCTTGTGATACAAGGCCACCGTAGCACGAGTTCACACAGTTCGGCGAACTTGCAAACATGCCTAGGTGGGGGTGGGCAACGGTTGCATGACTTTGGGGCTGAGATTGTGCTCGCTCTAATGACCCCGGAACAAGCCCCAGGTGAAACACCGCAGAGACTCCGTAGAGCACAAGGCGGTAAAGCACCACCTTGATGCACTGCGCATGGAAGAGTTTTTAAGGTCTGGGATGACTGTTGGTTTTCCACAGATCGCTGGTGGATGCTTGTGCGGTTGCGTGCAGCGGTTCTTTGAAGAACTGATCTCAGGCAGCCGCCATGCCTCGCATCTCGAGAGCGAACAGCCAGCAAAGTATGATTAGCGTCATGTCAGAGGACCATAGGAAGTCAGGAAATGCTAAGGGTGGCTACACTTCGCGCACAGCAGCTGGAGGTAGCTGCCACGAGTCCTGGTGGCCCCAGTTTCCACCCAGTGCCAAGATCATGAAAATTACAATGACAAAACCTTCTGAAGGCCAGCATGCTACATGTGTTTCCGTCTGCAATGCATCCGAGTCCTGACAGGAGCCACACGGCTGTTGAGCTGCAGAGATGGTACAGATACAGTACGTGCGCATGAGCACATCAACCTCAAACGTCGTTCATATGCAAAGCTTCCTCGATCCTGTCACCGCATGAGTCTCGGTGCCAGGCTTAAGGCACGTCGAGTGCCTGATCTGCACGCACCTGCCAGCTACGTCCGGCCATCAAGTCAAGAGTCAACGGGTTCTATGACAACTCGCGAGCTCTTGCGTGTCTGCCCTTGCAGCCCGCCTTCTCTATAACCTTCTGCACCGAGTCCTTCGAGTGAATGGCCCGGAACTTGGGGTGCTGCTCAAGCACAGCCTCCGCCGAACCAAAGCACTCTCACGCTCTCGGGTTTGAAACTCCACCCCGGCCTCTGCCATGCCCTTCACCTCAGGGTCAACAGCTGGTCGGTCCTGCGGCGGTTGAGTCGGACCAAAGTCTGGTCTTGTGGTCTCCAAGCTTCACGGCGTGTCCACCGTGTGCTCACGATTGTTTCGTGTGATGTTGTCTTCATTCTCGTATTGTCTCGTTTCTGCACGGTTCACTCCGAGACTCCATGCAGCACCATGCCGAGATTCTCAGACGTGCTGAACGCAGACGAAGCGAAAACAACGACAAAGCGATCGAAGGCCTCGATTCTGGGTTTTGCACCTGATGCGAGAGGGAGGCACCGTTGGTGAACACTGGCAGATCAACACTCCATCACCTCCCCAGGACCCGCAGATAGATAGACTCCATAGACACCAAAGCTCAACAGTGCCTGACTCAGAAACAGGCCATTTGCCGGGGCAAGATTACAGAACAGCGCCAGGGTGAGCAACCAAGTTTCCGGTACGCTGAACACGGACATTCAGATAGACAGAGGACCATGAAGTCCTGTCTGCAGCAGAGATGCTGTAAATACAATGCCGGATAGCTCCAGCACAATACGACACAACCATCAATCTGCGCACGAGCCCTGCAACCAACGTTTAGCCCAACGAATCAGGAGGTGTGGACTAAACCGCAATAAAGAAGTTAATGCCAGAAGAAAAATCCTGAGCAAAATTCAGCACCCAAGAGATCAGAGAAGCGAGCCCGCTTCCAACACCGGTACACACAACTTCTCAACACTCGTCTTTTGCACGACTGGGTCGGCCCACGTGGTCGGAGAGTACAATGAGCAAACGACTGCACCGATTGTGCAGCATTGGTGGTGCCTAGGAGTCGCGCAAGACACTGCAACTTCGGTGCCTCCCCAGCAGCAGTGGAGCTGTCCTCAGACGCAACAAAGGCATGTTGGCTCCCCATTTGCATTCACGTGTACGTCTGGGGGAGCTGCCCACTCCTTTTGGCCATTCTCCTGGACTTCTTTTCTCCTGCCACTTCAGAGCCAGAAAACTCAAAAACAACAACATACGACAGCAGATTCATGTGGCCTTGACCTGCGGCTGGAGGCCACGCTGTACTCGCTGCGGTGATCCCCCAAGAGGCTCTGCCCATCAACGCCGTCCTTCAAGCCAGAATCGTAAAGCGACGGACTCCGTCCACTCGTGTGCAGCAAGCGGACGTGATGGTTTGCAGAGAGAGAGACTGCCAATCCCAAGTAACAGACCGCCTCTGCCTTGGAGCTTCCTGCCGCCGTGCTTTCCTGAAAACGGGCTCAGTTGACTCCATGATGTCGACCGCATTCGACTCCAGTCATTCTCTCATTGCTCTGAAGGGGTAGTCAGGGGTCTCAGAAGAACGGCAGTGCTCAGCTTTCACAAGCAATCGGCCAAGAGGGCACTTCGGCGCACCTCGTACTCTTCGGCGAAGCTTGCGAGGAGCTCATCTTTAAACCTTCAAGAGGAAGGTAGGGACCCGATTAAACTTCACGTCGGGCCGGGGAGGCCGTAACTGCCGTCGGAAGACGCTTCCTGTTCTTTCATCAACTTTCCTGCACGATCTTTGAGCGCCTTGACGAGACAGGAAACAACAGTCGGCTGCGCAACCATGCCATGGTCGCTGGCAGATGTAACGTTGGTGCAGGGGCAAAAGTTTACCATGTTCCTTTGGCCCACTGAAATCTGTGTTCTCGGACCCACACAACGGCTTAGAGGAGTGCTTTGACGATACACTCAAGTGTCCCCTTGTCGGCCCGCACCTACGGTTCTCCCTGTTCGGCACCTCGCGCTGCAAGTTGCGCTGGGCTTACATAGTTGCAGAGTGTGGCAGCAAGGGCACGGCACGAGCACGAACGGAGCGCCTTCACTTTAGCAGAAGGGCACGAGAAACCAAGGCTCGGGCACCCAGAGCCTGTCGAAACTCCAGATCTGCAACCTTAGAGCCCAGTCTGCCCAGCTATTAGGCTACAGCAAACCGTGCATGAATATTCTTCTTTCATGCATTTTCGCATTCGTGCCGCCGCATCCGCTTCTTCGGGATGTGACGCTCCCGGACCCGACTTTCAGATGGTGGCAACAAGGAAACCTTCGCCATACGACGATCAGGGGCGCCCACGTATTCGTCGAAGTCTAAACCCTCTGCGAAGTTAATGAGGTCGTCGGCCTCCTCTTCCTCGAACTTGTCCTTTTCCTGGTTCATTGGTGCACTGTCAGAGCATGTCAAATCTGCACAACTGCACACCTACCCCCAAAAAGTGCCTGGGCAGTCATCGCCCAAAGCGGCTTTGCACTCTGCGCCTCGCGAAGATCTCCAGGGAGGACATGGAGACCGCCGGCCCCAGACAAGTGTGGGCCTTCGCAGATACCTTGCCCTCAACAGCTGCTGCCGCGGCCCGCGCAATCTCGGAGAGTGCTGGCCTGAGAGGGCTCAGACGGTTGCAGCTCCGTACTAGGCTGGGCTGGGCCCAGCTGCAACTAAGCTCCATGCTGTGCAGACTGCGCAGCTGCCTTGGCCTGTACACAGGACATGATCCAACAAAATCTATCGTGAGGGGCTCTGGAGGACGAGCGACTTCTCTGTTTCATAGAGAACAAACACCTCGCAGGTGTCGGCTCTTTTTCTTGCCGGCCTCTGCAGCCTTCGCCGCTTTCTCAGCTTTCGCCGTCGCTTCCTCCTCTCGCCGTCACCCGTCGCACTCCGCTCAAGCAACACTAACGAGACCGAAACGATACTGTTCCTCAACGCAGAGAAGAAAGTCGAAACCGTCCTCCCTTCGCTTGTCTATTCGCTCTTGCATCATTCCACGCACCGCTTCTCTGTGCCTTGCTGGGCCAGAATGGGATTCAAGCGTGATTGCCGGGCAGGCGGGGCACTTGTCAAAAGCAGTTTTGAGCTTTATCCTCTTGGCGGCTTCATCCTGCTCTTCTTGCTCGGCCTGCAGGACTTGCGAATGTAATAAGCAGCACGGCCCACGGCATCTCGTCCAGCAAGCAGCGTGAAAAACGGCAGCCATGGCCTGGTTGCGGTCTTCCCTCATTTGCTCTTGCAACTCCCGGAGCCATCGCCTCAGAGGAAGATTGGCGTGACAAACCTCTGCAAGGCATGCTGCAAAGAAACCGAGTCAAGCTGCACGTGTCTGCGAAGAGCGGCGCTGGGGCCCCTCTTCTTCACCGTCGGCTCGTAGTTCCTTTCGCATCGTGCGCTTTAATTGGTTGGCCACGCAGGGGCTTCTGGTTCATGCAAGCAACAAGCAGCCCAACATTCTGAGGAGAGCACCTCAACGGCCTGAGGCCCACCTCCGAGTTTGAGGCGACCGCTGACCTAAACATGGCAGAGATTTTCATGAGCCGCTTGAAGAAGCTTTCAGCCTGTGCCCCGCCTAAAAGGCATGGGGTCTTCGGCCACAGCCTTGACTTCATCGCTTGGGCGATTGCCTTGCAGCCGCGCCGCAGACTTCCCTTTTGTCGCATCTCGCCCAGGGTGCACTGAGAGGGCCGCATAACATCACTCCCTTAAAGTTGCCGAGGCCGGATGGCGGTGGCGGGGCATCGAAGGGAGCGGCACCTGTGCTTGCTTGACACTTACTCCAACACCCAGCAGCAAGACACACATCCAGCCTTGGCCCTCCATGGCTGCACGGCCTGCAGGCACGATGAATCGAGTGACCCCAAAGTCAGTAACAACGTCGGCTGCAGAACATGTCACAGGAAAATGGACATGCACAGGCGAAAACAGTCAGCACAGGCAGGCAGAGGCCTGCCTTGAACGCCAGGCCGTCTGAATTCGTAAAGGCGGGCAGATTACTGCATGGAGCCGACCGCATCAATCGAACTGAGATTCGACAGTGTGGCATCATGTAGCATCTCTCAACTGCCGTCAAGACGAGCCTGCATCCCGTCTAATGGCAAACGCGACTGCTGCCACTCCTCGTACCCTGAATCTGCAGGTCCCTCGAGAAGCCGAACCCCAAAGTCTCTATAAACAGGAGATCCCACCATCCTTGAATTCAGGAGTTTTGGGGCTATGGCTGTATAGAAACGAAGGGCTTAGGGTTTTAGGGTTTATGTGACTGGAATTGTACTAAAAAAGCAGGACCATGGTTTGCTTGGTTGCCCTTTTGACTTAGTAAGTCTTTTGACTTAGTAAGTCTAGCCTAGCCAGTATCCCATACAAGCCCTGTGTAACCCCTCACTCACCAAGCTACTGAGTCAAAGAGCATCCAAGCATTGTTCAGACTTGACAGGTTGTATAGCTTGTACGGCTTCAAGCTTGGGATACGAAGGGCGAGGCAACAGTTGTAGTTGCCAACGTCCGAGCCTGCAAAACATGCGGGAAACCCTTGTTTGCTCCCAGCACAGGCAGGCCGCAGAAGCTTCCGATGACGGCTGGCTCGGACACCTGGATCGCGCTGCACCGACAAGAAACTCAAAGGATTCTGTCTAGCATGAGTCGCCTCACATTAAGTTTGCTTGTCGAGCTGACAACGGCTGGTTTTGAAGAAGCGCCCAACTGTTTCACAGCCACCACAGTACAAAGGCCAAAATGAAAGAGAGATTCGACTCTGGCTCTCTTTCGGCCCGACCCTCCAACTGGGCCTCGGGATGGGGCGCGCAAGTTGGGGGGTCGAAGAGGGAGTCAGACGATAAGCCGAAGAGATTGCCGTCACAAAACCAATCCCTGAGGCTAGGGTACTGGGGGTTTTGACTGTTTATCCCAAATCCTGCATCACTCGCGTGGAGATGGTCCCGCCCATGACAGGGTCAAAACATGAGATGCCCAAGATGTCGAAACTGCTTCGGATTCTCACCCGTTTGGAGCTTCTGCAGCAATCGGGCACCGCCTGCTGCTGCAATCAGGACGTGCACGGCGGGAAACCTCCACGCAAAGCAGCTTGCATCAGACCATGCTCCGTGCGGTGACGAATGGTGACGACATAATGCACAAGTCTTGCGCAGTTCTGGTGCAGAACCAGGGCTTGCCAACTTGGAATCTCCATCTTCCCCAAGCCTCGCGCAGGCCTCTATTCCTGCCTGACTTCACGTTCTACCATGGACCGGACGGCTGGACTGAGGCGGTCCTGCACAAGCGCAGCCTGCCGCACAGCAGGCCCTGCTCAGCCGCAGTGCAGGCATTCAGGCCAAGGCCCCGATCAGGCCCCTACACGAATGCCTGCGTGTAATCCTATAGACTAGGAATCTCGCGGTTTGGGACGGTATGGCTGTCGCACTGGACTTTGTCTAGTCATGTCACAAGAGGCGACGGTTTAGTCAGACGCTCGCATGCTGAGGTGGCACGAGACTCAAGCGAGTGGCAGCGGGGAGCAAAGCTAGTGCATTTGTGTGGGGAGTTGCACTGGCACCAGGTCACTTCGCCTTATCTTTTTGTGATACAAGGCCACCAAAGCACGAGTTCGCACAGTTCGGCGAACTTGCAAACGTACTGTGGTGGGGGGCTCTCCTTGTACGGGTTTGGAGTTGAGATTGTGCTTCTGGCTTACTCCAACGGTTCCTGCTTGCCACGGATCAAACCCCACGTGAAACTGCCGCGAGCTCTGCAGAGCACAAAGCGGCAATTGAGGCACCACCTTCATGCATTGCAACGAGGCCAACACACTCATGATTTCAGCTTATGATCATCGACGACCGTTCTTATTGCCATCAACAGGCGATCATGAACTGGCAGGTGCTTGGGCGATTGTATGCGCGTGCAGCCGTTCTTTGAAAGAACTGCTCTCCGCAGCCGCCATGCCTCACATCTTGACAGCAAAGGCCGCACTGCAGGACACGACGGACATGAAAAACCACACCGCTGAGGGTGGTCACACTTCGTGCACGGCAGCTGGCGGTTGCCATGACTCCTAGCGGCGAGCTTCAGTCCTAATGTAGAGGTGGTCATAAGCAATTGTAAGCCCCGAGTCCTGCCGGAACTCATATGGCAGGTGAGCGGTACAAATAAGGAAGCATTGATGGATCAACCTACAAGCCAGATCAGGCAAAAGAGTCCCATGATTGAAGATCAGCAGGCATTTGAGAGCTTCGCCGGCTTGTGCAGCCGATTTTGCGTGTCTGATGAAGCGGTGATGACAGGAACCGGGCACGGGCCTCAGATTGACGAGCTCTGAACCCCCTCATCTGACGGACAGCTGCACCGAGGGCTCCAGCCCTCTAACCGCATATGGTCTGCCTGAGCAATAGATCAGTCACGCAACATTTTGGCCACACCACGTGCTGCTTCGAACTCTTCCGTGGTATGCACGTAGGTGCCCAAACTAAAGGCAGGTCGACCACCGGATCAGCACGCACCTGCTAATGAGACTTGCCATATTACCGCATCTCTGTGCAATCGAAACCATCTATTCGGCCCGCCTTCTCTATGATCTTTTGGACTGAGTCTTTGGAGTGAATGGCCCGGAACTTGGGGTTCTGCTCCAGTACCGCCTCACCCGTTCCAAACATCAACGTTTTCCTTGTATCGTGATCGTGTACTCCCTGCCTCAGCCATGTCCTTGACCTCTGGGTCAACAGCAGGCCGGTCCTGCGGCGCGGACATGCAAACTGCAGCCTCCGGCAGCCTAGCCTGAATACTGACTTGGGTTCTGTCAGCACTCTAGTCTCTCGTCTTCAGGATGTTGGGGGGCATCCGGTGCACAAAGCAGCCAGTGGCAACACAGTGCCAAAGCGCTGTTCTCAAAAGCCTTCGTGAAGAGCAAAACACCTGGCTTGCCAAGCCTCTCCGGCAGCAGTAGAGCTATCCTCAGCTCAGCAAAACCACGTTTAGCTCTCGTGTTAACTGTCCATGTCCCATGTGTCTCAGGCAGCTGCCCATTCCTTTTGACCATTGTCGCGGGCTTCTTTATTCCTGTGACTCCCGCATGACCGAAACCCTGATGCACAGTCCAAGTAAATCATCTCAAAGGTTGTCTTTGCCTGGCCTTGACCTGCGGCTAGAGGCAACACTGTACTCGCTGCGGAGGTCCCCCAAGAGGCTCTGCCCATCAACGCCGTCCTGCAAACTTGACGTGATTGCAGAGCAGCTCAGAGAAAAGCCTGTGCGAAGCAGTGGCAAAATGACAATTACTTAAAGAAGCAGAAATCTACGAAGTTACCTGAAACATCTTACGCGTGAGATGAGAGAGGAACGGAGGCCTCTAACTTTGAGCTTCCGGCGGCTGTGCTTTCCTGGCCGAGCTTCATCGATGCTAACGCAGTTGGCATATGTTGGCATGGTCAGTCGTGGAAGATAAAGCTTCAAAGCGAGAAACAGATGATTCTGAGCGGATGCTGGAACCGGCCAACCCAGAGGGGGTCTTACCGTGCACGCAACACTGTAGGCTCAGAGCGCACATGCTTGCAATGCCACCCTATCGTTGACAGATCGACGATCTCATCTCGCGTAATCTCGCAGTATTGAGACTCCTGCGCTATCTGGTTTACAAAGCTCGATGTTCTCATGAGAGACATTCGATGAGGTATTTCACAAAGTAGGCTAGGGTCGGACATGATCGCAATGAGCCAGCTTGCAGACATTCGGAGATCAAATAGAGGAGTACAGCAAAAGGACATGCTGCGAAAGAGAAGAAACGAGACGATGCAGTAAGACAACGCAACATCAGCAGCTCAGAGGCTCTTGCGTTGTCTTGCTGATCTTTGTTATCAAACTTAGAACACTTCTTCAACCCTGTGTTGGTCCACAGGAGCGGGGCCCTTCGCCCACTGGCCGATTTCCATCATTTGTTATGCCAGCGTAGATTCCAAAATGGTCATTGAGCACCACGACCACCATGACGATGATAAGGGACGCCCACCGGGATAACCACCAGACGACCAGGAAGCGTGTCCTGCTTCCCCCAGCCACTTGCGGGATTCAGGACAACTAGGGCGATTCAGGGCGAGGACGAGCAAAATATTTCTCGTTAAATACTGGCACGAGTCAGGACTGCCCCCCACATACTGGCAGTATTCGCAGGACAGCCGAAATGCTTCCCATGTGTCTCCGGCAGACGGGTTCCAGCGGACCCTGCAGCCCACGGGTGCCTCGCGGCTTCACTAGCCAACACTCTTTACTCCTAACGCCCACAGCGCTAGCAGTCCGAGCACTTCGTCACACAAGCTGTTGTGTGGTAAGCTATTCGGCTACCTTTCCCCATCCAAACTTCTGCACGCCAACGACTGACACGGCCTACCCAGGCTAGGCCCACCATTGAACACTTGACAACGGAGCCTTCAGGCTCCCGATACGACCCAAGGCAGACGATGGCACCTCGTAGTCTTCGTCGTCGAGGCTCGCGTTGAAGCTTGCAAGAAGCTCATCCTTGAACCTGGCACGCCAAGGGGCGTCCACTGAGCGAAACAGACCATCCATCTCCACGAAGGCTTCACACCTTCGAGCGCAGGCTAAACAACTTCTGCCGAAGTACGCTTCTTGTTCCTTCTTCAATTTCCCGGTGCGGTCTTTGAGCGCCTTGGCAAAGCAAGAGGTCAAAAGGACTTGTTTCTGGTACCGGATAAGAGAGCCAATGCTCGAATCCAGGGCGTGCAGATTGGCAGCAGCTACGGGATGCAAGGCTCGGGCACCCAGGGCTTGTCGAAACTCCAGATCTCCGACCTTATGATCCCAGTTTGGTTGGAGCCTGAATGCTGCTCGTGCTTAGCTAAGGCTTAGCGGCAAGCCGCAGACGGAAGGCTGGGGCACCCACATATTTGTCGAAGTTCAGACCCTCAACGAAGTTGATGAGGTCGTCGAACTCCTCTTCCTCAAACTTGTCCTTCTCCTCTGGTTCAATCCGATCCGCTACTAGCTACCGAGATGCATAACAGCTGCAAGGGCACCTGCGGAGTCATCGCCCAAAGCGGTTTTGCACACTGTGCCTCAAGAAGAGAATCTCGGGCAAGTAAATCTGAACCGGTTCAACGCAAAATGGGCCACAATGGGCATACTGGGTGTCTATCTATCTATCTATCTATCTATCTATCTATCTGTGTATCTACCTATGTATCTACCCATCCATCTATCTATATGATCTATCTATATATCTGTCTATCTATCTATCTACCCATCTATCTAGGTCTCTATCTACCTACCCATCTATCTGTCTATCTATCCATGTATCTATGTATCTGCCGATCTATCTATCTATCTACATTCGCGAATCGCATCCATAAGGCTACTGCATTCGCTCTGCACAGCTTTTTCCTTTCACAAAGCACCGCCTTGATTCCTGCAGAACCTGTGTATCGACTCACGGGAAGTGCTTTGGTAACACATCGGGATTGGCATCCGGCCGGCAACCCCTACCGGATGCAATCGAGCTCAACACTCGCTGCCACACCTGAAATTAGAGAGGATTACCCCACGGGGGATCGTCTCAAGAAACAGGGTGGGCGGGTGGGCAAAAGAATCTGCCTTTTTTGGCTCATCTGCCACGGCTTGAACCAAAAGCCAGGATGGACGATAACAAATGATTCATGTGCACCCAAGCCTGCCAAACTCGACACATGATATACATTCGATAATCACATCCATAAGGCTACTGCATTCGCTCTGCACAGCTTTTTCGTTTCACAGAGCACCGCCTTGATTTCTGTAGAACCTGTGTATCGACTCACAGGAAGTGCTTTGGTAACACATGCGGATTGGCATCCTGCCGGCAACCCTGGGTCCACCCTCGGGTTCCGGTACTGCCTGGAACCTACCTCGGTTCAAGTTCTCAATGCACTCATCCCAAAGCACTTCTACAGAAACTGGAAAACAAGCATGGCCAGCACCAATGGAAGCGGCCACACTTCCGACGAGAAAAAGGAGCGATACAGCATGGAGCCGTTGGCCGTACTCCAGGGTCATCCGGTCATATCCGGCCATCCACCCCTAGTCGGCCAACAGAGTCGGACCAGTTGGATTTGCTCCGGATCCACTCCCAGTTTATCCAGGTCTCAAGGGAAACCAAGGCGTGGATGAGGCGGGCCAGACGCTCGAGGTCGGGAGAGTCGGACCTGCCTCGGATCAAAGTCATCAGTGCTGCTACGTTGTCGGTAAACCAGACACCTCGACAGCCGCGAAATGTCGCGGCTCGTGAAAAGCCAAGGCAAAAAGTACCATAGAACGCTCCAGCTGGGCGATCTTGGTGTTTTCGGGTAAAAAGGCCTTGTACGTATCCTCGCCGATATCGGCGACAAAGGCCTCGTGCTGGGGCCATTTGTCCTGCCAGATCGGCCCTCGCACGCTCTGTGCCTCCAGATTCCAGATTCGCCTTGACGTAGTCCGGGATGGCTTTGGCTGGCACCGGGGGGCGAGTAGAACTCTCGCCCTTCCTCGCCGCGCTTCGGACGTGGTGCTCCACTTGCGTCTCCTTCACTTGACTAGCCCTGCCGCGTGGTACTGGGCAACTCCTGAGGCTCGGCAGGGATGTTGAAAGAAGAGGGGCCCAGAACCTGGAGTGGAGCCAGCATGGCTTTCTGCAGTGAGGTACTCGGCGAGACCACCATTCTGAGCACCATCCTCCCATGTCGTTCACCCAAGCTTCCATTGCGGAAAGAGCAGCAACACCAACCTAGCCCCAATACCAGCCCGAAGAGCCCGAGCCTCCGGAATACACTCGCCCGCAGAGCTCAAGCCTCGAGCCAGGTGGCGATGGGTTCCCAAGTCAAGCAAGGACATTGGCAACGGTAGACCCCTGATGCAAGATGTCCTCAGCTACAGTAGGGTTGCCTTGCAGATAACTCCGGGAGCCTGAAGGCCGCTCCCCAGCACGGGGTCCAGTCCAGGTTTGGGCACCTGAAGTAGATGTGCGAGTCGGCTCGCCGCGGAGCCGAAGTGCCGGTGAGGAGAGCTGAGAGCCGTGGAATCACCAATCTCAGGACTGCGCCTGATGGTAGTTTGCAATCCCGAAAATTGCAAGGTGCGCTCTTCCACGCCAGAATCCCCGCTGCTCATTCACCACGATATTCCCTCAATCGATCACACCCTCTCGGGCCCACCTGCACCACTAGAGGAGCAGCAAAAATCTGGGCCGCCCAAGCCAAGAAAAAGCCAAAGCCCCGTCGGACTCCTGCAGAAAGCACCACCGCTGCCCAGCAGATCCCGCAGGCGCAGCCGACACAGCAAGCACAACGACAGAAAAAGGATATGGCAAAGGAGCTCGGGGCGCAGAAGTGCCGAAAATGTGCACTTCACGAAGCGCCTCGGGCAGGGCGGCCCTAGAGTCGCCTGTGGCTTCGGCAGATCGGGATAGTGAGCATCCCCCTCCCCCACCGTGGAACGGCTTGGGCCTTGAGCTTCTTGCGGAATGGTTGGGTGGTTTCGTTTAGGCCTTGGCCGGTGGGGCCAGAACACACGGCGAAGGTATATACATGCATGCATTAATACATCCAGCCATGCATGCATTCATCCATTTGCATATGGGTCTATATGCACATACGCATGTGCATCTTTATGCACTTGTTTATGCATCAACTTATTCATTCTCTCTACGCGCATACAGACACTCCATATCACTCGTATCGTCTATGTCCTGTGTATTTATGTATATGCACAAACTTTGTATGTAAAGACTACATGTACATATTACTTTCACAGAACTACATGTATGCCAATATGAGGGGGACGAAGAGAAGGGACACCAGCTGAGCCGCCTTCGTGGGCCCATTGCCCTCATCGGCTGCAAAACTCGGCTTGGCCGTTCTGTCTTTGGCTGTAGCTTCCTCCTCCATGGTCTACCTACTCAGTCTTCTCTACTCCATCACCATCGGCCATCTGTGCCAAACTCCTACCGTGGGGTCCTCCTTCAATTTGTCGTGTCGCTCTTTCATCAAACCACGTACCGCTTGTCTCTGCCTCCCCAGCAGAGCCGTGGGACTTACCCCCGTGGCAGCAGGGCAGGCGCACTTGTCAAAGGCTGCTTTCATCTTTATCCTTTTGGCTTCTTCGTCCTGCTCTTCTTGCTCCACCTTGCGGTCAAAGGTCGCTGCACACGAAGTAGCTCCAGCATGCGGGTACAGCCCCGACCTGGTTGCGGTCTTCCCTCATTTGCTCTTGCAACTCCCGGAGCCATCGCCTCAGAGGAAGATTGGCGTGACAAACCTCTGCAAGGCATGCTGCAAGGAAACCGAGTCCAGCTGCACGTGTCTGCGAAGAGCGGCGCTAGGACCCCTCTTCTTCACCGTCGGCTCGTAGTTCCTTGCACATGTCTGTGCAGTATTAAAACAATTCCAAGGACTGAAAGATTTAATTGCTTGGTATCTACCATAGAGAGAGAGAGAGAGAGAGAGAGAGAGAGAGGGAGAGAGAGGGAGAGAGAGAGAGAGCGCTTCCTGTTGGGCCTACGGCCTACGCAAGTTGAAGAGCTGTGGGGTCGGCCGCTCAAAGGCTTTCCGAATGCTATCGCACCACAGCGCGGAGATGAATGAGTCCGAGCCAATTCGCCGAGCGCGCCTCAACGGCCTGAGGCCCACCTCCGAGTTTGAGGCGACCGCTGACCTAAACAGGGCAGAGATTTTCATGAGCCGCTTGAAGAAGCTTTCAGCCTGTGCCCCGGCCTAAAAGGCATGGGAACCTCGGCCACAGCCTTGACTTCATCGGTTGGGCGATTACCTCGCAGCCGTACCATTGACTCCACTTTTGTCGCATCTCGCCCCAGAGGCGCTTGAGAGCGCTGCATAGCATTACTCCTTTAAAGTTGCCCAGGCCGGATGGTGGTGGAGGGGTGTCAAAGGGAGCGGCACCTGTGACAGCTTGGCACACACTCCAACGCCGAGCAACAAACACTGCGTGCAGCCAGCCTTGGCCCTCCATGGCTGCACGGCCTGCCAGCAAGGGGCGCCTATGTCGCTTAGATTCTTCATGATCTGAGAAGTCGCAGGGTCCTCGCCTTGCGCCGCCCGGCCGGCTCACTAAATTCGAGGGCAGATTTCTGTAAGGAGCCGGGTCGAGCAAGCGAATGAAGCTGAGTTCAGCATGGCAGGCCACGAGTCAGCTCAGGACCAGCTTTATGCCGGTGGCAAGAAGTCCAAGACCAAGAGCCATTTTTGCGAGTGAGACCAAGGCAAAATTCTTGTTACACTGAGGCCGATCTACTTTCAGGCACTGGACGTGGTGCCCAAATGGGACATAAACATTGCGACGGTTTGCAACAATGTGGGACTTGCCGCGACGACGCTTGCGCGAAGCCTCCGCACTAGAATCCCAACACATTCCGATGGAGTATTGCCTGCTAGCAGCTACAAGTACTGTCTTTGCAAGACAGCCAATAAGGACGTTACTGTTGGAAGGAACATCGAATGCTATGAGTCTACCGAGCAGATGCTGGTCTGGCGCCAAAAGAGGCACAGCTGTCGCTAACCTACGGAGCTTGGCTGAAAAGGCAGGCTCGACATGGTGGCATCTGAGTCTGCTGCAAATTCTGCTTAATGATCGGTGGCACCCCTCGGACAGTGCCGAGCCTGAAGAAGACATCGAGACACCCACAAGCCTTGTTGCTCTGGGATCGAAAGGCTCAAATGCGCTCACCACGAGCATAGGCGGCAGCTGCACCATAGTTGAAGGCTTGCTGGCCTGGATACCTCTGTAGAGAGCACTGCAGAGCTTCGACTGATCGGATGGATCGTCGAAAGTCTTGGGAACCTTCTACGACCTGTTTGCCCTACACATCCATACGTACTCGAGATGCGCTGTGCTAAGCACACCACCCGCCCTGGACAGCCGCTTGCTGGGAGGCTTGCGCCTGATTCGTCTCTTCTGACAGACGCAGCCATCGGGTCCAGGAGAGAGATCAAACCGAGATCCGTGCATAAGCATTCTGGCCTCGCTGGTCCATGTACCTGTGCTCGCAAAGCCCCACCATTTGCAACTCTCTCGCTTTTTTCCTTCCGCCTCTGGCCGGCCTCCGATCAAACAGACTTCAGCTAAGGGATTCCGAAAACTTGGAAAGGGAGTGCCCATGGGACCTCTGCCCTTGCAGAGTTCGCTGCTCCAAGAGACAAACAAAGCAGATCGAGGGAGAGATAGCGATGATGGGCGGGCACGGTGCTAGCGTACAACGTCGGTCGCTCGGCTCAGAAATCTCAGAGCTCTCTCGCTGGACTTCAGCAAGCCTTGAAGCCATCTGTGGCGACTACAGACCACGATTTAGAGCCGAATCGCTAGGCGAGGTGCTCCTCAGTCATGCATGTATCCGTGCGTACTGATTTTGGGATCAGGGCCGGAATCCGGAGAGTTGGGCAGGGGCACTCAGATCATGTACCTCGCTCTGGTCGGGAAACATACCAAGCCAAACCATTGCATGATCAAAACTCTTAAAACTCAAAGTCCTTGTAATTAACAAAAGAAAATATGCAAGAAACGACAGGGCGGGACGAGACGGGGTGGAACGCGACGGCCGCAGGCAAGCATGCGGACGCGGACGGTCGCGGGCAGGAGTGGAATGACGCTGAACGGACGCCATCAAGCATGAACGAGACGCCGTCGGATGGTAACGACACGAGCCGATGCGAGAGACGTGAGGGACGCATCTGCTGGGTTGTCATGCAGGGCCGGCCATGGGCCGGCCCACGAACACTGCATGACAACTCACCCCTCTGCTCAGGCCGGTGTTGTGGTCAGATAGAACTGTCGTGATAAGGCAACCTAGCATCCACAGAACCGTGCACAGCAGGCTCACTGGGCCGCCCAGTAGCGCATGTCGACGCCCTCCTCGCAGAAGGTCACACACGTAATGCTTTTTCCATCTCGTCCAGCTACGAAATCACACATTCACGACATGTTTGTTCAGGCTCTGCCTGCGAAACGTGCAACCAACACTCACACCACTTCGCTCCTGGCCAGTCATCCCCTGCATCTGTAGGTTCCGCTGCTGATGCTGCTGTTGCTGCTGTTGTTGCTGCTGCTGCATCTGCGAGGTCCAGTTCTGGCAGATTGTGCAACACTCGCAAAGCAGCATCTGTGAAGCTCATGCAATACACTGATCAGACACACACAGAAAAAAGTCACACTCTGCAAACTCTGCAGGGAACTTCTGGTGTGGTGCAGGTCAATGTCGCCAGGTCCACAGCATACATCTGCATCCATTGGCTGTTGCCAGCCGCCCATTGCATTGCTTGTGCTTGCCTCAGACTGCTTGCACAATTTCTGCACAGGAAGCCGATGAGGCGACATCATGGACACCGGCAGCTGCTTCTCTGTCTTGTGACGGCTGTCCCTCAGACTTTCCCTTGTCGCTATAACTCATGGAATGCCTCGCCCTCATCTTGCATTTAAGAGTAGCAAAAACTCTGAATCGCTTCAGTCAAGCAGAGTTCCTTTCCCTCCTTTTTGGCAAAGGGTGGTTTGAGGGGAAGGAAAGCTGCTTTCTGGCAGCAAGCTGTGGCTTTGATGTTCAGCACGATCATTGCCTGATCATGAGCAGCATCATTTGGGCCTCGGGCCTTGCTCTCTCGAGCATTTGGGCGGAAACCCCCTCAACGGCCAATGCAGGCACAAGCGATGCCGCGACAACAATAATGTGGTTGGAGATGTTGGAGCGCCATGGTGGGGGCCGTGGCCGTGCGGCTGCGCGGCATTCTGTGATACTCTGTCTTTCCGCTCTTGCGATGCGCAATGCCCGGCCGCCACTCAGAAGCTGACGGATCCGCGGCCATGGTGCGGCCGGCTTGCTGGGCCTCCACGGAGTCGAAAAAATGTGCTTTTCGGAAAGCTTCAGAGTGCCATGCAGCAGCCTGGGCCGCCATCCATTGCTCTCGGAGCCATTTCTGCTGCCTCTGCTGCTCCTCAGCCTTCAAAGGAAGAAAGCTTCAGCGACACTCAGCAACCGGTGCACGATGCGCCTGCTCCTTGAACTTGCTCTGGCTCTCTGCCTGCACGTTGTTGCAAGCGTGCGGCGTGCAGGGTATGTCGCACTCCCCTTGCCTTTGAGGGTTTGCACCCATCATCCAGCACGGAACACAGAAAAACAACTGAAGCCAACATAAGCCAATGTCACACTGTGTCTTAGCCGACTGAGACTCCCATCACAGCACTAGCAACAGTCCTATGTTTAAAGATTCTGTCCCCGCGCTTGCCTCCTGCTGCCGGCGGAGTTGCCTGGCACGAGCGTGCAACAAATCACTGCGATTGTTACAGCGCCACCACCCTGTCCGCAAGACCATGCGGGAAAGCATGAGAGAAAGACTCTTGCTGTTCTTCGTAGCGCCGTCGCCTTACGATCCCAGACTGCCAAACAGCGACACAATCTGCAACGGCAGATCTAGGTTGCCCGGCTGCTCCGTCCTCTCTCTGAGGACTTGCTCCTGCTGCCGACGCTCCTGCTCTTCAGCGCGGAGCTTCTCCTCAGCTCTTGCGCTCTGTCGCGATCACATATTCAACTCTGCAACGTGCATCACCAAGCCAGTCCTCTTCGGCTGCCTTCCATCCGCCGGTGATTTCTTTGTGCTTGGTGTCGAAGAACCTGAGTTTCTTGCGCGAAGTTGCAAGCTCAGGAGTTAGACGGGTCCCGCAGACCAAAATTAGGATCTGGACTTGGCAATTGTCTGCTCTGACAGCGGGTTCTGCTTCTCCGCCTCGCCAGTGACACACACACACACAAACACTTTTCCCACTGCACCCAGGCTGAACTGCTTCGCCCAACCTGTCTTCCCCAGGCCACGAACAAGTCTGTAAGTACCTCTTCTTTGGTCTCCTGCAAAACTCTGGATGCCAAGACGCAGCACTGGCTTCAGCAGGCTGCTCAGCCACGAATGCGATGTCTGTTCACACAAAGGATGAAAGTTGTGGTGGGATGGACAACTGTGTTGAAAGAGGTCTGCCCCTCTCGTATGATGCCGATGCAACACGACATGGTCTCCAAGCATTTGTCAAGCGAAACAAATGCGGAAGCCAAGCAGCATGAGCGCAGGAAGCAAGACTGCATGGCAAGTTCCTGATATCATGTTGGTCCTTGTTCGTATGCGGCTTGATTTGGACCTTGATTCCATTGATGACGCACTCGTTGCCATCTTCCACTATGGCCTGCACAAGGTGGTAGGCTTGAAGTGCGGAGGATGCCCACCGAAGAGCTTTGCTTCTGTCCGTCGAATCACTTGCATGATTGCTTTGAAGCTCCGCCTGTCTCACTCTGACATCTGTCATCGAGACTACAGCGCAGCCCATCGAGCTATGTTTCCGCACGGTGACCACCTCACCGACCTGCATGCAGACTGCTTCAGAAGAGCCCATTGAGACGCTGCTCACGTGATCTTCACCTGCTCGACGGCTTGTCGCCGAGGATCGTCAGAGCGATCGATTCGCTCTAGACGCTCCTGGCACCACTCGTTGTGATCACTACAAGGCCCCGCTGTCGGAGTTAGAAAATGCCAAAGAACATCAGGAGCCTTCTCGCCCTCTGTTTTGTCTCGTTCCCCTAACAGGGCAGCGACTGACAAACAAGCACCTGGACGTCCAAGCGCGAGCCTTTTCCCTTCTTGCCCCCTTTCCCGCGACCTGCATTGGCTGCCAGAACTGAACTCACAAAACTTCCCAACTCTCGTCCCAATTCCAATGCCCAGCCTTTTTCGCCGCGGTCCTGTCTGTCCCCCCTGTCATCTGCAACGGGCACAGAGCCGGGCGACACCTACAGTCAAGATGAAGATAGATGTAGAAACGATCCCACTATGCATAGATCTTGATTCGCCCCGGTGAGGACGGGGCAACTGGTTGGCTGCCAAGCGCTGCAAGAATGTCCTGAATTTTGTTACGGGGTCCCGCAGCAAGGCGGATGTAGCATCACATCTTCGTGCCCGAACTCTGCCTGCATCTTGCTAGCTTTTCGAGTCCGCTGGCTTGCAGGTCCTACCTACGGCCTTTTCGTCGCAGTTTCCACGCAAAAGCTTCAAGATTTCCTCGCCTCGCGGTTGAGCAGAGTTGGTGGCGGAAGAATGCCGTGGGCAAGGGCGGTCCAAACACAATGAATTCGGGCCGACGGCCGGGTCAGATGATTCTCTGGCAGGTGGGCTTGGCCAACAGATGTTTTGAAAAGAATCACCGGCTGCTCCTGGGGTGTTGCTCACCGAAGGCGCGTGATGTCGAGCCTTCTCACGCGCCAGACTTTAATGTTGGGAACTTTGTGTTTGCAGGACAGAAAAGAAGAACACAGAAAGCTGACATGACCAGGGAAAAGAAGCAGAAGAAGGAGGCGGGGAGAAGGGGACAAGTGCACAAGTCAAGAGCCTCTAGACTCTAGACTGCATTCAAGAACCCGATCCACGTTCTTGGAAACACTCACAATCTCCAAAGTTCATCCACCATCAAGTTCGAAAATGCCACGGCATCACGTCCTGCTGGGGTGGCAGGCTGTCGGGTAGCGGCTTTGTGGTTGGTGGTGCCACGTTCGGCATCGGAGCCTTGCATGCACAGTCGGTACCATTTCTCAGGCACTGTTGCTTTCGGAAGCTAAGCTTGCAGCCGAAACTTGCGGAGGTGCCTGAGGCATCGGAGGAGCCTGTGTACATACCGCATGGGCCGCTCTTTTCTTCTTTTGCTGAAACCATCTAGTCATGTTGACATAAATTGAGCTCCGCACAGGCACCACGGGCGGAGCTGCCGGCGCCGCCAAGTGATCGCGCCTGTCAGAGTCACAGACTGGCGTGGATGTGCGAAGATGTGCTGAGGCCAGGACTCTAGCTCCTCCAAAGTTAGGGCATTTTCCGGCAAGGCCTGCAGGCATCCGCTCCGTCGCGGTTGATTCCAAAGCCCATCAAAGCATGGGAGGCCTTTGGCATGCCCAATGTCTGTTCGCCCTCCATCATCCGCTCGTGCACCGGAAGGTGGCCCAGTGTCCACTGATCCAGGCCACCCTGATGCACAGCCATGTTTTCGATGATCTCATGACAGAACGATTCGGGAGAGGGTGGAGCACCTCTCCATCTGGCTGCACGGAAGTGTCTGGCCTTGTTGCGATAGCAGCTGGGTGCATCATGAATCTAAGGACGTACAGTTTGCCTGCATGCATGGGTGAGCTGAGATTGCATCATATCCCACAGGACACCCTCTCCGTCGTCGTCCTTAGAAGTTGTGCTGAATTCTGGCATATGACCACACGTCGCTAGACGACAATGCCATGCCTCCTCGGCTACTGGCTCTTTCTTGTCCTGCGCCCACATCGCAAGAAGCTAGTGCTTGCACGGCAAGTCTGAATGGGCACTGCTTGCAAGTTATTGCTAGCTTGCCTTGTAGCCTTTTCTGCGGCTGCCAGCCTTGTCTGCGCATCCCAGCTGCAAGCGTCACGATGTCGTGCCACAGCTTCTGCGCGCCTTTTCCCACTGACCGCCCCACCAGCCATCTTCCTGCATCTTCCGACAGGCCGCAGCTTCATCAGTCTACAGGCTGCTTTGGCCCACGGCCTGCCCTTTCGAGTTGCTCCAGTCGTCTCGCCAGGACTCCCACTCCCAGCTCTTGCTGTTCTGCGGACAGACATGAAGTGCTGATCGCATGTGGCAAGGAGCAGAAATATGCAGGCGCACCCACGATGCGTTTCCGCCACTTTCCCACCTTGGCCAGGCCGTGGCGTCGCACCGACAGCTGGACGCACCGGAGAAAGCTGAGGCAAACTGCCATTGCCCACCCTGCCACTCTTGATCATCGCTGCTCTGCCTTCAAGCAACACAGCACACGTCCGAAGGTCTCTATGCATCATACCGGCTTGCGTATGCGCTTGGCTGACAAGCAGTGAGACCCTCTAGCAGCTAGCATCTACACATCTGGATGACGTGACTTCTTCGGAAAGCTTTCACAGCCCACGAAATGAGGCACGCCACTGAGTCCGACACTTCGTCCCGGCAAAGAGGATCGCGGGATCGGGTGGCAGGGAAGCTGGCAAAGAAGAGCTTTGACACGACATTTCTGCAGCAGACAAAGCGATCACGACTAGGCCTGCTGGCATTTCTGGGTCGGTACCATTTTTACCGCCTTTGCCTGGGGCGCCCCCGACAGTGGCATCACAACGCCGCAAAGCTCAGTGCGTGCACTGACGACCAGCTGCGCCTCCACGCTTTGCGCCTCACAGTTTTTGGAGATCGGATGCAGCTTCACAGAGTCACTTGGCTGAGATGTATCGTCCATGCTGGGACAGGGACGCTCAGTTTCTCTAGCTTCTTTGGCTGCCTTCCTGAAATGCAGATGACGGCTCATGCATCAGAGAATGCCTTGCACGCTTCAGGGCGCTAACTGCTAATTGTCTGTGCCTCTCCGCTTCGCGGCGCTGCTTCTCCTGCTCTTTCTCAAGACGTTCCTTGGGTCTCTTAATTGCTGCAAGCAACATGCTGGTTGGCCGGGACAGCACAACCTTCCGAGACCCTCTGAGAACTTGTCTTGCTCTTTCTTGTCCTCTTCTTCCTTGAGTTTTCTCTCCTCCTCTGCGAGGACTGTATCAAACGCTGCCGACCCCGTGACTTCAATCCGTGCCTTCGCTTGCTTTTTGTTTTTGACTGTGCCCCACTCTTCTTGCTCGTGGTTTGCACGATCCTGTCGTGGCAGGATCGACACCAGACAATGCTGGCTTTGCCGCTCATCATATCTCCGGATGTCACGAACGGGAACAGATGGTGCAGGGTCTGGTCGAGAATTCGGTCCAGAAAGCTCAAGCGCAGCACAACAAGCGAATACACTCACATGAATCACGACAGAACACAGTGCATGAGCATGTCGACGGTGCGAGAAATCGCTCCGACGACATCAAGTGCTCTGGTTGGATGTGCGGGCGATCGCTCGATCTGTGCGTTGGCAAGGCACAGGCGACGTCCAGTCAACCAAGAGCGCATAGCAAATGATGCACAGCGCGCAAGGCTAGGCTGCTGCAACAACGCCTCGACAATGTTGGCCACAGCCACCTGAATTTGATGCCTCGGTGCCGCAAACGTCTGAATTCGTTGGCGTGTCCTTGTTGTTGCATTAGCCACAGCACATAAGCAGCATCTGAAATGTAAGGCTTGTAAGGCCTTGACTCGTCGTAATGACACCGCCGAACTAAAGCAGCAATGTCGTTTCGGGAGTACTCGAAAAAGTCGAGGACATCCGTCCTAAGCTCAGGGAGCTAGCCAATCGATTTGCCAGGCGCTTTTGTGTGGACTCTAGTCCAAGTGCAATGACCTGACCACAGGAAAATGGGAAGCAGTCGGAAACAGCGGCAATGGTCGTCTCACATCGTTAGCTCCGTTTAATGTTGTGGGAGTCTGTCGGATGCACTGGACATGGACGTCTTTCAGGTAGTGGAAACGGGTTATGCGGTAATCCACTCGGTCGAAGCTGAATACCATGCCTGGCATGCAACACTTGTCTGTTTTCCTGAGGTCAGTTGCGCACTGTCAGCCGAAACCAGGACTGCGTCCCTTACTTCGCCTTGCCAGTACATTGAGTGCTCGGCAGCTGCTGGATATGCCTCTCAGTTCGCGGAGAGTACCTTAAGCAAGCTTCATGTGGACGCCGCTTACGTCTGTCTCTGTCCAGGTTGCCTGAAATTCAACTGACTGGGAAAGCAGCGTCTTTTCGTCAGCATCGCCCTTTGTAGCAGCAACCTGCAAGTGAGCAGCCTAAGCCTCCTCAGTTTTCGTTTGCAAGAGCTCTGAGGCATGTACAGTTTCGAGAACTCGAAGCTGCTGGGCGACCCGGACATCGTTGCTGGCCGGAGCCTCTCTGCACGGACTTCTAGCAAGCGACGGAATCCAATCCTCGTAACTCGCAAGGGACATCCAAGGACCCCGGCGGCGGCAGGTGGCGCCCCGTTTTCTATCGTGGCAGCCGGCGGCTGCGCCTGAAGCTTGACATGTTGTGCTCACTGCTTTCCGACCTGGCCGGCTAGCATTGAGCCTTCTTCTTGGTCACGACCTTTTTAGACATGGCCAGACCCAGACCACCCAGACCTAGGCATCACATCGAAGCAGGCTCAGGCAGCAGAGGCCAAAGTCCACTCGGCTCCCACCTGAGGGCAAGGGTGCCCCAGGCCTCTGCCCTAGGGGCAAGCCCAAACCTATCAGGTGGGCAATCTTCGAGCCAACTTTCCTGGACCATGTCCCAAGGCCGCCTATGTCCGTCGAAAATGACACAAGACCAGAAGGGCACTCTGTTTTGAGACGCTGATTCGCTCATTTGTGCGCTAACGGTTCCTGGACATGCCTCCAGCTATTCAAGCTCTATCTGTGAAGGCATCCGATGCGATCGCAGCAAATTACAGCTCTCGCGGGGAAGTGCGGTGCAGCAAGCACCATCATTTCTCAGACTTTTCGGCCTGATCGGATTTATCAGACCTTTCTGTTGTCTCAGCTCTGTCGCTTCTGGCACCTGCTGCACGACCGGGCAGCAACGTAAGACATCTGATGCACCAGCTACAACCGCAATGTCACACTTGCGTCAACCCTCGCACCGTGCGCTTCTTTTCTTTGCCAACCTGCCATATGCGAGAATACCTAGTCGCAAACTCTGCCCCTGCTGCCAACTGGTCCCTACGAGTATGCTGTGTGTTTATGTATCTGGTATCCATCATGTATCCATTTCGCCGGCCTCGAGCATCATCTTTGTCCTTCCGTTGCCAGGACCAACCTCATTTCGAAAAGTATGGCAACACAACAGACTCAGGCTTAAGGGACTCTGCGCGCCCGCGTAGCCACTGCTCGCTTGGGCGGCGGCTTCGTCCTCTTTTCCAATCGTTCCCCCACCAACCATCACTATCCTGAGAGGGGGATACGCAAGAGACAGGTCTAGCGAGCAATGGCGATGGCCTGCGACTTGTCCCAGTCGTTCCACTTCTTGTTCCACTCCCAGCGGCCATTCTGGCATGAACAACAATACAACAGTTGAGGCCAAGCATCGCGACCGGCTGCGTTCAAGGTCCAGCCCTATGCATACATTGGCGGAGGTAAAGATGCGCCGCATCCACGCCATTACCGGGGCCCACAGGCTCATTTCCCGAGGTGATCCGAAAAGATCGGAAGCAACATGATACGGTCTGCAGCAGGTCCTAAGCCTGCGTTAAATTATTAAAGCGCACTTCTGGTCTATAGTAAAGAGGTGAGCCATTACGTACGTGCGTGAGAATCGCGACACTGAAGCGACCCAGCAGTCCTCGTGCAAGACAAGACCAGCAAACACATTCCGATTTGGTCGGCATGCAGGAACGACGCGAGACTGATGCGGCCCCTGCTTGAAAGCCCCCTTGGCCGGACGGAATACTTTCGAGGCGGATCTTAGATGACCTGGAGGTGACCTAGCCTTGGTAGAGGATATGAAGTTCTCATCTATGGCATCCGATTGAACAGCAAATGCCATCCTTGCCTGAGGCTTGGCTCCATCATCTTCACGCCAGGACTCCCAGTCCCAACTCTTGTTCTGCACGAATCAGGCATGTCCGAAGAGCAAGCATGTCTCCAAATCAAGCTTGTGCTGATTATGTGAGGGCGCACCCATCTCTCGCCGGAGCCTTCCCACCTCAGTCACAAACTGAGAGAAAAAAAAAAAGCAGATGCACTTCCCTGGCTCTGCTCTGAGAACCAGACCACTGGCCGCCTTGCCAGGGCTCTTTGTCCTTCTCTTTGTCCTTTTCTGCATCCTTCTCTCTGATCTTCTCTCGCTCCTTCTCCACCTCCTTCTCCTTCATGTCCTTCATGTCCTTCTCCTCTTTCGCAGGCTCCTTCTCCTTCGGCTTCTCCTCTGCCTCCTTCTCCTTTGGCTTCTCCACCTCCTTCTGCTTTGGTTTCTCCTGCTCCTTCTCCTTCGGCTTCGCCTCCTCCTTGTGATCACCGTTTTGCCTTAGAGCCCCGTGATAGCTTTAGCTCTCCCCAGACATGATTGAAGGATGGCTTTTCCCGTAAGCTCCAGACTCCGGCTTGGGCCCCGCAAAGAGGATGGCCGGGTCCGGCGGGAGGGCCGAAGCTGAGGCAGGCACAAGCGTCTTCGAGGGATTCTCATATATGTCGTGAAAAAATGACTTTGGTGTGGGCTGACTTGCATGCCAATCTTTGAAACACATGTACTACTGTATCGGCTGCATCTGTGAAAGCACGAAACCGCCAACATATACCTGACCTGGCTGAGAGACATTGTTGCGGCCCCTGTCGGACGTAAAGCGCTCCGAAAGAGGGGTTACAAGCAGTCACGTCGTTCGTCTGAATCACTTAAGTCACTTAAGTGCTCAACGACATCTTTCCTGAGCAACTGCATCCCGACAGCTTGGAACTCAACAGGACTACAGGCTGCATCCCACAACATCAGCGTAGCCTGAGGACGTGTCGTGGTGGAAGCCATTCTTGCCGGCCCCCTTGCCTCCTGAAGCTGTGTTTCTTCAACGTGGTGAAAGCAGACTTCCAAAACCTGAAGCGTGCAGAACGCCCGCCTCCGCCTTTGCCTGCCTTTGGGAAAGACTTTGGGGCGGCCACGCCATTCACGGCTTCTCGAGCTTTGGCAAGCTCTGCTTCGCGAGCATCTGCCGCAGCTTTCCTGCTCTCAGCAGTGCTACACTTGACTATGAAGATCGTCACGACTTTAGGGAGGACCTCTCGGCTTCTCGGCGCTTGTTCTCCTCCTCCTTCTGCTGTCGCTCCTGCACAGTTTCCACCCACCACTGACGCCTGCCTAAAGATAGCAAGGCCGTCCTGATCTTTCCTCTCCTGCTCCTTTTTCTCCTCCTCCTCCTTGATCTTTCGCTGCTCCTCAGCATGTCAAGCAGCAAGCAAGCCACGACCGGGAATTTTCCAGTGTACCACCCAACATCACAAGATCATCAGGGTTTGGCAAGTTTGGCTTTGGCCAAGGGACCTTTACTTGCTTCTTGTTCTTTACCGTGGACCACTCGTCAGGTTCAAGGGGTGCTCGGTCCTGCCAATCACTGCTGAGCTGCACTAAGACTCGGCATATGATGCGCATCTGCATCCTTCGGCGAGATAAACTGCTCTTTCTTGTCGTGTTCCTTCTTCTCCTCCTCTTCCTTCAGTTTGCGCTCTTCCTGTAAGACAGACAGATAGCCTGGGAAGAGTGACATGACCAGGCTTCGACAATCCCTCTGTCAACTGCAGTCCTTGGCTTGCTTTTTGTTCTTCACCGTTGACCACTCGTCCTGTTCTTGACTCACGTGGTCCTGGCCGTGCTTAGAATTGAACACATAGGGCCTCTGACCTCTACTGGTCAAGGTTATGGCGATCCTGTCTATGGCCAGGAAGGTGATCGTTCTTGACATCCACCTCTGCCTCCGCCTCCTCGTCCTTGGCTTTCTTCTTCTCCTGCCGCGCATGTGAGACCGCCTGTGGGTAACTCAAGCTTCACATCCTCTTGCGAGAACTCTGAATGCACTGATTCTTGTGCACTCGCCTTCGTCTGCTTCTTGCGCCCCACTGTCTCCCATTGATCTTGGCCATGGTTTGAACGGTCCTGGATTGCAACCAAACGCACTTGCATTCCACGTGTTTGCTTCATTTCTGCGGCTTCACCATGTCATGCACTCATGCACTTTGCATGCACGCCTCGATGATGTTGGCAACTGCTATCTGGATCTGGTTCCTGGGCCCGGCTGATGATAAGAAAGACTCGAGTCCAATGCCACGGACTGCCACGCTGCCAAACAAGCACACTTGGATCTCACCGGCGGTCTAAGGCAAACACTCGTCGTAGTGACACTTCCGGACCAAGACAGCAATATCATTTCGGGAGTACTCAAAAAAGTCGAGCACACCATGCCTGGGCGGGCAAGCTCCGCGCAGCGCAAGGACAGAATGCCCCTTGCAAGTTAGACAAGTGTACTGCCAGATACCGGTCCTTGGGGTACATAATGTGCACTTTTCTAAGAGACCAACTTATTTCTCCTGGAGACTCTGAGAAGTTCGAAAAAAAGATTTGCAAGTCTGATTTTTGTGTCTGCCTGGCTTCTGAATGGCCGGAGGGCCGGAGGGATAGGGGCTGTGAACAACAGCCCGTCTGGTGGGGAGGAGGCCAGCGCCGTGGTTGGTGATTCAGCTTTGGCTTAAGAGCTAGCTGCTAGATTGTTCGCCCTGTGCACTTGCTCTCAACATCTCAGTACACGACAGCTGCTGGATGTACCTCTCTGCTCGAGGGGAATACCTAAGGCAACACAACGCACCGGCCTGCGAGCAGATGCAATCAAAACCGAGCCCAGGGCTTTTTCTCGCCAACGTCGCCCTTTGCAGCCACCTCTGATAGCTGTGCATGGCTGCTGTACAAGGGTGCATGTACTGCAGCGCAAAGTATGTTCCGGACGGTCTCAAGCACACGCCTGGCGGCTGCCAACATATCTTGGCAGTTCAACAATCGCACTTCACAGGCATTTCAGGCTTGGGCAACTGTTGGGCGACGCGAACATCCTTCGGTGCCTTGACACGGAAACAGATCCAAGTCTGTGCAGTCAATCCCTCACCCTTTCGTCTCACTACCAGGAGCCGCTGGTAATACCGAGCAAGATGTCAAAACGAGGTCTCTGCGACGACAGGTGTAGCCCCGTTCTCTGCTGCGGCCGATTGTGGAGGCTGTGCCTGAGCTCAGAGTCTTCCAAAATGCTCGCGTGTGGTTCTCGTTCTGTGCCTTCTTCTTCGTCACGACCTTCTTCGACATGGTCGGACCTGGTACAAATGCCAGTCGGAAGCTCCGCTGTCAAGCAGTGCATAGCTGATCCGAACCTGGTGGGCAATGCCCCAGGCCTGTGCCCAGGGTCAAGCCCAACCGTCTTGAGCCGCAACTCGACACGGGCAGAGGCTGCAGTGAGCAACCATGCAGACAAAATGGAGAATCGGTGCTGTTGCATGCATGACGCACCGGGATGTGTACGAGCTTCATGGTTTCGCCATCCAGAACGTCTGATGTTTGCTCAGACCCGCGCAAGCGCTGGCATGCAAAGATGGCTGCCGGCACATGCCAACGTCGCTGCGCACGCTCGATACTCTGTTGACAGGCTTGCGATACCCATGTCCGTCTAGTCTAGTGCATGCGCGGCATCAGTTCAGCATCGCCGCATAGTCCACATACTCTTGAAGGGAAACGTCTCCGGACTGATCCTGGGCTGTGGTTGACTTCGAAACCGGAAACCGGAAAGGGTGGAAGAAAGAGCGATTGAAGGAACATGCAGATTGGAGGCTTTGTCGGAGTCGAGAAAGAATTGGTAAAGCTCCACATCAGATATCCCGCCCTTGAAGTGCGCGCGAACCTGCCATGCATAACAGCCCTCACATGGTAGTCGGCAACCCACAGTGGACGCGTGTACGTCCAGTTCTCGCCTCCTGAGCGTCCATCTGGTCATCCTCATCTTGTTGAAGCTGGGGAAAGAACAGGACAGCTCGAGCCACTGCGGTGGCTCCTTGTTGAAATCGACATCGACGAAGTCTTGCTTGAACTCCTGCATCTGGGCTGCAGTGACCTGCCCAACTGCAGTACAGCCAGCTTGAACCACGCATTTTGCTTGCTTCCAGCAGGGCTGCCAGACAAACAGGTAAGTGCGTGACTGGCTTCGGTGTGCTTAGTTCCAGATTTTGTATGTGTGGTGGGATTTGTATCCTCGGCTCGCAAATGTGTGAAAACTTCACAGATCTCAAAGCGGGTGCAAAGCGACTGGGAGCACGACAAGGGCTCGGCGCCGACGTGTAGCAGCGAAGCCAAGCCCGCAACGAGACTAGCACCTGGAATGGCAAGTGGCTAGAATGCCCAAAGAACTAAGCTTCAACGCTGTAAACGAAGCTGGGCACCTCGAAGCAACATGGCCTCAACGCATCCGAGACTATGTGACAAGAACTCTCTCCAGAGAGTGTCCTTCTGCTTCCGTAGGGTTGGCTTATTTATACTGTGGGCGAAAGTTTACGAAGAAACCGGACGTGACAATGCTGAAGGGCTGAAGTAGAGACCTGACATACCTGACCTGATTTGGCTCTCTTGAAGTCAGCAGCGGGAAACAATCTGCAAGCAAATGCGATCGACGCTTGATGCACATGTAAGCTGAGACAGCAATTTTCTAGCAGTGCCGCAGACTGGCACACCTTCCATGTGCCACGCACAGGCCGCGAGCTGAAGCCGCAAGCGTCAAAAAGTATCCAGCCTGGAGCACTGTGCGCTCACAGAAGCACTAGGACTCATCACATCGTCAGAACACGCTCTGCCTGCCTGAACAAATGCAGGTTAGGCCTCTCCTATCTGGGGCCTTGGGCCACCGAAAAACGAATCCTCTGCGAGCATCCAATAGATGAGCTGTGCAGAGATGGCAGAAGATGTCGAGGCGGGACGTGACATGATGTCCGACACCTTTGGGAAGTTAAAACGTCACAGGTTGGCGAAGGTGCGTTCGAACCTCTCTCTGATTGCCAGGAGCACGATCTGACAAGAGGCTTCCCCGTTCGGGTATGTATGAAGCGGCCCTCGACCCTGTCGCACTTGCGGGCAACATCGAGAATGCCAACGAATCTAAACAATACTGATTTGGTAGAAACAGCTGTGAAACTCAGCAAGTCCGAGAAACGTCCTCGCGACCTCGGTCAAAGACCCGTAGTGAAGGCCGCAAGGCTGGAAGGGCTTCACAGGCCGACAGGCACAAACAGGCACAGACCCAGTGTCATCTTGAAGACGGAGGCGGTCTCCCGGGCCTGGTGACAGCAGCTGCTTACGACAGACGGCCCTGCAGCTCTCCGGGACGGGGACCCGCTGGCCAGGAGGGCATCCTCCTGCTGGTTCTGATCAGCGAGAGGATTGAAAAGTTCCTGCAGGGGCACCGAAAAGGAGTCTCTCCAAGCGGACTCCGTCACACAGCGGCATCCTTCATTTTCACCTCGATGCTCTGCAAAGGCGTCCTTAGCTTCTTGCTTCTCTGTCGTGGAAGTCTAGCCGTATTGGTTTCCTTCTTCGTCTTCCTGGCCCGCCGCTCTTTCAAACCCGGCCCAAACCTGCCTCCCCAATACACCCGACCTCATGCCAAACCCTGCGCCAACTTGTCTTACTTGCTCGAGTCATTCAACTACGCATGCTTTTATTGCTGCAGTGGCGGCCGCGGCGTCTGCGGGGGCTGCTCTTGCTGCTGGTGCTGTCAATACTGCTCTAGCTCCTACAGCCTGCCAAATATTTGTCTGAGTCTTGGTCTTGGTCATCGCAGCTTTGCTGGTCATTCCTATTTGATTTTGCTGTCGGACGAAATGCTCTTACTTACAGGTTGCATCCTGACTAGTGTTCGCCGATCGGTGTTGCCATCGGGTATGCCGCCGGGGTAATTATTGGCATCCTTCTTGCATTCCTCCTCTAATCTTGCGTTCGGGCCTCATTTCTATACTATAGTTTTCATGCTCGATAATATGGTTATTTGGCTATTCTCTTGTGCGTGCTACTCCTCCTTATCCTCCTCCTCCTGCTGCTGCCCACTACCACTATCACCACCACGACCGCTACGAAGACCACGACCACGGTCACGATCACGGCCACGACGACGATCACGGCCGCGACGACGACGACGACGGCTGCTGCTGTTGCTGCTGAATCGGGAAACGGATCGCGGGGTCGTGATTCGGCCGACCGCACACCTAAATTGAGGTGTCTGTTGAGGAGGGGGATCTCCGAGGTCAAGGCGGTCAAGGTGTTCAAGCGGTCCGCACTTGAGGTTTTAGATTGTTACCTCAGGTTTCGGGCAGCTAGATTTCTGCAAGCCGCCGTCACCCCCCCCCCCCCC